AGTTGGCCGGAAAACGCTCCGACCCGCCGGAGGGTCGGAGCGTTTTCCGGCTAAATCCGGCGAAATTGACGGCGGGAACCAACTCCAATGCGGTCGTGGCATCCGGGCGACCTCCAAGGACCCCTCAATTGCAAGATTTGATGAAGATTTGCAAAACCCCCAATTTTGGATCCAATTTCGAATTTTAGGGTTTTTTCGAGTAGAAAAATTCAGATTCGAGAAGTTACAGGCCAAATTAGACAAAATGGTTTGGATATTATTAATCCTCGTCTCAAGACGAAAAGAATGACATTGGTCCCGCCGGAATCGGAAAAAGTTCATTTTCCGGCGACTTTGACCGACGGGCGGCGGCGGCGGGGCGTGGAAGAAAAGAAAAGAAGAAATGTGGTCAAATTGAAAATTTTAAAATATATAAAATTCAAATTTGGCCCTAATGACCGGAAGTTAACCTAGAAACGAGCTAATGACTCATTAGTGAAAGGATTGTGTAAGTTCAGGGATTTTTGTGAAAGGATTTGAAGTTCAGGTACCACTTCGAAATTCCAGCTAAAGTTCAGGTACCATTTGTGAAATTTACCCATTAAGGCGAAGATGCGAAGCTTCTAACAATAAACAAAATTAATATGGAGTTTTAATTGTGATGTATGACGCAATATCTTTAATCTCTCAGTTCAATTTTCAAACTAACTATTTCATTTATTTCATAATGATCTTCTTGAATAGTAGTACAATACATTAAACAGCCCGGGGAACGTACGATGTCCCGTTTGTAAAATTGACGATTCCTATCCCTCAGTAAGCCTCCCCCCACCAGGCCGCCCCGCTCGACATAATTGCATTATTCACGTTTCTATATTCTAAAGTAACATCATGCGTTATAAGAGGTGGAAAAGACCCTTCCAAGCTTTTAAGCATGAAGACACAGACAATTCTGTCGAATCATCTTTTTTATTTTGTTTCATGCTTCACATTTCGCATAGACGCATAGTATGCACATGTTTTGCGTATTTCACATTTTACCTAATGGAAAGACTATCTATGCAACAATTTTTTGGCCATAAGGATTATTTTACGACTTTTTAAAGTACAAAGATTATTTACTAACTTATAGAAAACCACAAAGACTCTTTATGCATTAACTCTTTAATTCTCCATGACACTATTCTTTATTGAATATGTTTATTTCGAATAAACTTCATATTTTTAAGAATGTAAGAAATGGCAAAAGATCTACAAATCAATAGGTAACATGATTATGTTATTTTATTACGAAGTAAATAAGTAACACAAATAGACAAAGAAAGTGAATAAAATTCATGAAAACTTGCTGGCCGTTCTGCCCGAATATTTGTACAAAAACAGCCCAAATCTATGTTTGTGCAGGTCTAAGAATCTTCGGAAAAAAAAACTACTTACTAATTTAAAATAAAAATTGATAATAATTAGTAATTACTTTTTGCTTCTAAGAATGTGCTAAAAAGAATGTTTTAGGAGATCAACTACTACTGCTACAGCTAACAATGAAAGGTTTGACATAGTGGATGAACTCATGGGTGTTGATCCCCAGTTTAAGATCAACTTCTCCACCCCCTAACCAAAAGAATTCAGGTTGGAGTTTTGTAATGGCTTCATCCAAGATCACCTGCCAAAACCACATTTCTTCAAGCCATTATCCCACAAATAGAGAGACTGTTTCCAAGAGGCTCTCGTTTCGAACATGAAGTATAACACAGTAGCACGAACAAAGTAAGCGCACCAAGACCAACACTAGAAACTAGTTTAAATCACCGAAAACACACATCTACAAACTAGACTAAAAATGCACCAACATAAACTACAAACTAAGGCTCAAAGATGTTTAACCAACTGCTCCAAACCTAGATCTCCAGACATTCTTTATTAGGCCATCTCTTTGGTAAGATCTTGCAATTGTAAGTCCTATCTAAACACCTCATTCTAACTCTTCGTAGGTCAACGTCTACCCCTTCTCACACCCACAAATGCAGTCTCCACACTGAGGCCTCTACACTTCTCCTCTTCACGTGTCAAACCACATCAGTCCCGCTTCCCACAGCTTATCCTCAGATAATCCTAATGTGCAATAATCTCGTTTACTGATTCAATAAGTTTCCAACAATCTACACACCAAAAAGGCAAAACCCCACCGGCTTTTTCACCTATTTAAGACACTGTATATACAAGCATATAACAAATTTCTTTTGAGAATTAGTTTGCATGGAGGGTTCAAGGTGTACTTTGAAGATTTTAGTCTTATCTTGATAAGTGGAATGTTTCTGAACAAATAAAATGTTATTTAAATGTTACTTATATGATCATCTAGTGTGTTATTCTAATACTTTTTAGAAAATCTTAAATTTATGCCACAATATAAACTTAGCAGGTTATGTTTGGGTGTTAAACTTTAAGAGGGAATGGCTAGTTTTCATTTTAAGAATATAGCACTTTAAACATGACAAGTTTTCAATGTCTAAGTCATCTACTCCTCCCGTCCCAAAATGATCTCTTCAATTACCTTGTTTGGATGTCCCGAAATGATCGTCTCACTTCTTGTAAGGAAAAAAGCATTACTCTCTCCATTCCAAAAAATGAAAACTTTACATTTAGTTTGACGTCACGTATTTAAGAAAAAGTGTTGAATATTGAATAGGTTTTGGTGAAAAGTAAATAGTGTCTAATTGAAGTTTATTTTGATGATAGAGAAATAGTAGAAACCACATTCATTGTCTAAAAAGAAAAGTGTAGGAGTGTAAAATTCTTTTTTGGGAGGCCTAGAATAGAAAATGTATTGTGTAAAATTCTTTTTGAAACAGAGTATACCATTCCTCTCCTATGCATAAGTTTTAACAACAAGATTTCATTTTTTAAAAAAATTTGAGGGCTCGTGCCATTTCACATGGGAAGACAAATTTGAGATGGAGTTAGTATTTATTATCACAAAGCTTTTTTAATTTTCCTACATTAATGATAAAAAAAATATTAGCAACATTTTTCCTACCTTCCCCTTCACTACCTAACGCCCAAAACATGCCCTTTCACACGTTCATTTGAGCACATAACACGTAAACTTGTATACAAGTTCCTTTTGGTCTCCTTTCTTGTAAAGAAAAGTTCCTTTTGGAATCATGTGCAAGCTTTCACAAGTAACCACTTATTTTCTTGCTTTCTTTGCGTTCACTAATTTTGGTTCTTAATCACAGGAAAACATTTTATTATAAGTGTACTGGTTCCATGATTTCTACTTGCATGAGATGCTCAAAACAAGCATCAACTCCTAAAGCCAGTTTAGGTTTGAAATAAACACAGAAGATTGATTGCTTACAGGAATGTCTGTTTTCATGCCAATGCATGTCACACCATTGTGTTCATAGCCCGTCAAATTTCTTGAGATCTCCTCAGGGGCAAGCCTCACTGTAGAGAAATGGAAAGAATGATAATCACATTAAAACGAACTATATAAATTATTGTCTTAAATTTTTAAGCAGGATGCTTAACACCAAAAAACAGCGCAATTTCTTTCAGTTGGACTAGATCCCAGCTATGATACTAACGGGTGGTATGCAGATGCCCGCAACACACAAACAACTACAGGTAAGTTAATCATAGGATTGTTACATTGTTATTACATTGCAAGCCTGTTTGGTAAGTTTATGTTTTAGCTTATCAGACTGATTCATTTTTCACCAAACATTAACTAGTATCATTGCACTTAAATTGGTACACATGTATTTATTGTTAGATACTCCGTATTTTTTTCTTTACAACAACAAAAATCTAGTAAGGTACCACAAGAGGGGTATGGCCCGTATGGCGAGGATAGATGTAAGTTAATCTTACATCTAGCTACAAAGGCTGAGAAACACATGGTACTCCCTCTGTCCCACATTAATTCTCCAATTTTCCTTTTTCGTCATTCTCAAAAAGTGGTTCTACTTTCTACGTTTGGAAAAGTTTTTGTGGCCCATATAATTTCTCTCTTATACACCACTTTCAACCACACAATTTTACTTTCTTCAATCTCCGTGTCCCGTCAATTGTGAAACATTATTGCACAAGGGAGGGAGTATTTAATTCTTATTTTTTGAATACCTTTTTCTTACAAAAATCAACAAATTCGGTCATTTCAGCCACAATATCAGCAATTTAAGCAATTGTTCCGATTTGAAACATTGAAGCACTAAAATATGCAAAAAATGTCATATCACTACATTTGATTGGCAAATATAAAACATCATGGATCGTTAAGGAGACAATAACTTACTGTTGAACTTCTTTTTTGCTATGTTACCATTGTTCAGGGTGTACAGAAAATTCTTGACTGCCTCAGCGTTAAACCGAGCAGTATACTGCAATAATAAAATGAGTAAGATGAAAATCATTTGTAATGTACTTTTACTTAATGTTTAGACTCAAAGAGAAGATAAGAGAGCCATATATGAGACCTGCACAATGACCACATAGTATTTTGAATTGTAACGATCCTTACAATCAGTTACATCACTTGGTGCTTGAGTATTTACCTGCAATCAGTAGACATGTTTTATTTACAATTAGAAGGAAAGAGTGAAGTTTAAAGCAAACACCTATCTTTAGATTCAATAACAGCTTTAGTGCATATACTTAATTTAAAATGTCCAAACACTTCCTACATTCATCAATAGTTCATTGATAAGATACCAATTATGTCTAAAATGCTCATTAGCATGCCTGACTCTGACCCTATACAGATGGGAGATGCAGAAAATACATGACTTGAAGAGAACAGATACATTTGGGGTGAAAAAAATACTCCATCTGCCACAAAAGTTTTCCTACTTTTCCTTTTCATCTGTCCAAAAATAATACTCCGTATCATTTTTCTTTTCCCTTCTTGGAAAAGGATATGTGGTATAAAATACTAAATACTTCACTCTCCTCTTAAAAAAAGAGGAATTTACGTAAATAACACTAAAACATAATGACTTTCCCTAAATAGCACTACATGTGTTTTTTCCCAATGTAGCACTTTTAGTCATTATCCATTAGTCATTATTCTAAGTAAATCTTTGCCATCACTGGTCATTATGGACATTATTAAGTGCTATTTAGGGAATAAAACAACTTAAGTGCTATTTAGAGAAATGACTTAAGTTTTAGTGCTATTTAGTGCAAATATTTCTAAAAAAAATTCAAAACACTCTCCACTTCTCATCATCTTTGAGGCGAAGGGAATATTTTTACTACTTGATCGGCATGTGAGACTGTAAAGCAAGCCATTGCCTTTGGCTCCGGAGCCAAATTTGATTTTTGCCGCCTCAACCATATCATACTAATAGAATTAGATGAACACTAATGTGACCAATTTCCGGCATGGGACTTCATCTGAATCCATTGTAATATGAGGCATATCATAAACATATTCTTGGAAGAAACAGACTCTCTGCTTTCGAGTAGGGGTAGGGTATGCGCGCACACACCCTCCCCAGGCCCTACTTTTTGTGGGATTCTACTAGGTTTAATGTTGTATCATAAACACATTATGCCACAATGACAAAACCTATAGCTTCAATTCCATGTCAAAATTGAGATCTCTAATTCTCTATGACTAGTGTTACACTCATGCCATCCATGGAAATTCCACTCTCTACTCTCGGGTGGAATCTGATTCCCAACTTCCCACGAGAATCAATTCACCTCTCCAAGGAAAATAATCCATTTTTACAACTTGCTTGCATTGATGATTGATCAAATGAGATACTAAACAATAGAATCAATTTCCTCCAGATAATTTCTAAGAAAAGTAATTACTACGTACTTTCAATTTCATCCCCATTCTCTTCCGGCATACTCTATAATTTGTAATTTATGCAGGAAAAAAAAATCGAAACATATAATGAAAGGATTACAAACCCTAAACTACATAGAAACAGTACCAGAACGATGCTTTTGCAGAGGTGATTGACGGAAGCGGCACGGAGGACGTCCCGGCGAGCTTCAAGAGACCACTGGTAGTAGTCAGAGGAGACGCGCCTGAAGGCGAAGTTGTTAACGCCGTTCTCGCGGAGTAGAGCAGAGAGTCGGTCTTCAGTTGTGGTGCCGACGGCGGCGGAATCATCGTTAGAAGAGATGGAGAGGTTTCGAGAGATTTCGACGCCTAGAATGAAGTCTTCGAGTTCATTTACATGTTGGAGGACTTCGATCTGAGCGCGCTCCAGCTCCGCCAACTCCGCCCCCATTGATCTGAGACTATCCATATCAAACTCCTCCATTGATCTGAACGATGACCTGAACGATGCTCGTAGAATATTATTAATATTAAATATTGCTCTATCCTAAAACTTTCTTCCCACTTCCTCTTTTTCTCCGTCCTAAAACTACCTTCCCATTAGAAAAAAAAGATACAAATGACATTAATACCCTCATGTATTTACACCAATTATCTTCTAACTCTATATTTTGAATGATTGTAAAAAAAAATTCAAAAAATCTTTTTTAAGGAGGGTAAAATTTGAAGTCAAAGCCAAAAATTAAAAATGGGAAAAAGTCAAACTGGGAAGAAAGAATTAGGACGGAGGGAGTATTAATTTAGTCTTCAATTATTATATTCATTTCCACAAATGGTCCTTTGTTAACATTTTTATTAAGAACGTAGATAAAATTATAAATTCACACCCCTTTCTCTCCTCAATTAAGCTTCATCTCTGCTCTCGCACTCCTTTCCCAAATCCATCACTGAGTTTGAAGATTTGAACCCAAAATCGAAAATCATTACTCTTCTCTCAATTGTTTGTCTAACTGGTGGAACCCAAATTTGAAATCAGTAATCTTCGTGGATGAATTTTAATGTTTATTTTCTTTGCAATTTATTGAGACTAACCGACAAAACTCATCCATAAAGTTTATTGGTTTTGATTTTAGATTCCAAAAGGAAAACTAATAATTGAGAGAGGAATGATCATTTCAGTTTTGGGTTTAAAGCTTCAAACTCAGCGACGAGTAGGGGAGAGCATCGGTTCGGGTCGGTCGGTTTCGGCCCAAAACCGAAATAACCGAAAATAAAAATGACTCAAATTAACCGACCGAACCGAACTGAAATTTTTTAAAAACCGAACAAACCGAACCGAGAAAAACTGATTCGGTCCGGTCGGTTTTCAAATAACCGGCCCATCGGAGATGAATATCCCATCGGAATCTTCCCCGAGCTCATAGGGCTTTCCGTTCCCGTTGGAAACTGAAACAGGCGAGGATCCAAATCGAGCGGGATGTCCTTGGTACGGATCAGATCTGAGTGTTCCGGGCTGTCGATGAACTGAGAGGCATGTTACGCACCAGATAATTCGCCGGCAGATTGGTACGACAGAGTATCGGCGGAGAAAGCAGAGTAGCTGCCACAGCCGTCGTCGTCAAAGGGCATCCTCTTCGGCGTCGATCTCTGTCCATTCTAAAATACTTAAAGGCGGCGTAAAGACTTGATGTCGTCTTGCCGTTGATGGAATCATATTAGCCGATTAGGGATTACAAAAGTCAAGAAACGGAGATTGGGGGACAATGAGACAGCAACACTAAATTTGGGATTTGGGATGGGCCGCCATTAATTAGATTTTGGACTGGGCTTTGTTCCTTGAATTAATAGACTGGGCTTACATATATAAAATTTACATAATTACATATATTGGGCTCGGTTTTTCGGTCGGTTTCGGTTAATACTGCCCGAAACCGAAACCGAAACCGAAAACCCGAATTAACCAACTTTTATATATACTAAAACCGAAACCGAAACCGAAATCGAAATTTTGGTCGGTTCGGTTAAATCCAATCGGTTTTCCGGTCGGTTCGGTTAAATTGCTCACCCCTAGCAACGAGTTTGGGAAAGAGTACGAGAGGTGGGAGGAAGCTTAATTGAGGAGAGAGATACAATTTTATCCATGTTCTTAACAAAAACGTTGACAAAGGACCATTCGTAAAAAATGATATAATAATTGGGGACTAATTAGTAACATTTGATATGTAGAAACTAAATATGTAAAACGACCTATAACTGGAGACTTTTTATGGAATTTACTCTAAATTATACTCCGTATGATCATTATTTTATTAAATTTAAATAAAATATTTCAATTCATCAAAGTTAAGGAACTTTCGATCCTAAGGACGGAATGTAACATCGGAATATAATATCATAAATTTTAATGACCTAGAATATATTTCGAAAAATGTAAGACTTGATGGTTTTTACATGAGAAATCGAGACTAACCTAAATATATTTCAGAGACTTGGGAGTAATTACCATGAAATCGAGAGTATCGTAGAGTAATTAATTGTACTTCCTTCGTCCTAAAATGATCTTTCTATTTCCTTTTTTTTCTCCGTCCTAAATAACAGTATTGGATAATGACTAATTATTTCAGTGACTATTCAAATCATTTCTAATACGGAGTAATATCTTATTTTACCTGAATTATGTAATTGGTCATTTTTCTCAAAGACAAAACATTTTTAAACATTCCATTGTCAAAAGTTAGAGTAGATAGAACTCGTCCTATTTAGAGAAAAGTGATATGTTCAAGTCATATTTGCATAAATTACCTATTTTAATTAGATAAAATGACATTTTGAAATAATTTAATATAATACATTTAATAAAACAGTTTTTTTATCAATATCTAATCCTCCTGCAATATCTTTTAGTAAAAATGGACAAATACTCCTGGAATACCTTTTAGTCTTATTTAGAGCACATTTTTCTTTTGTTTTGTCACGACCACTACTACCCGAGGGTTATAATATGTACTACGTAACAAATTAAACGATGATAATATATATATATATATATATATATATATATATATATATATATAATCTATCTGCTACTAGTTTTGGATCGATCTGTATGCAATTAACAAGCTGGCATGAGCTCTATTCTTTTGTCTTGACTGTATATGGTCACTAGTATATGGTTTAATTTGATTAATGTATATGTATATGTATATTTGTGTATATATATATTCTAAATAAAATGCTAGAAACTCACCAAATTTGACACTAATAATTTAGTATCAAAATTGTCAAAAACATGCACAGAGACAATATTTATTTGTGTTATATCGAGGATGTAAATTCTTGATGTCAAATCTAAGGTTCCGTTTGGTACATGGAATTCAAACCATAGAATTGAAATTGAAGACAATAATTTTAATTACACTGTTTGGTAGCACAAAAATATGTGAATTTGGAATTAGTAGTCCAGAAAATGAATTGAAATTGGAGAAGTCAATTCCATCCAAATCATTTCCATAAAATTTCAACTTTTAATTCAATTCCAATTCCGTCAATTTCGTGTACCAAACGGATACTAATAGTTTTGTAGAGAAGTTGCATCGGGAAGACAGCTGATCGATCTATCCATTACAGATAAGATGGATCAAGATGAAGATATACAGTGCATGTGCATGTTGAGTGTCACCCATCTCTATTATTGTTTAAATTACTCCCCTGTCATTTTGACATCTTGTTTTCGTCTTATTTTTAACTAAACTTTATTGCTACACTTAATTAGAACTAAACACGAGGTTTGATATGCTCCATTTGGCATCAGCGTTAGTGATTAGGCACTAGCATGCATTTTGAAAATGTTATTCAACGATAGCCGTTAGCATTAGCATTTTCATAATTAATCTACACTCTTAAAATTTTATCTGAAACGCTAACCTAATCGAAAATGCTGTTACCAAACAAAACCATACTGATTAGCGTTAATCGAATGATGATAATTTGTTTTAGTTCTCAAAGTTCATGAGTTTTAGTTGTTCCCTAATAACACATAATTGGAGACCTTTTTTTTCTTTTTGCTTTTAAGTGTGCGTAGACATTATTCTTTGATGTTTAAGAGTCTAGAATTTAAATTCCAAACCTCTTACGGAGTATAAAATTTCTTTATATTAAAATTAACATGAGACGGTGGAACTATAACTCTAGACTAAAGATTTAAGACTATTCTCTTTTTCTGAATTAATTGTCTTACTTTTTTTGTCCGAGATTCCTCTTCGAGGTACGAAGTTGCTCGAAGATTCCTCTTCGAGGAACGAGGAACGAAGTCCCTCTCCCGTAGGTCGAGTAACTTCGTACCAAGAGAATTCGTTTCACTATGTTACACTCATTCGACCAACGTACGTAGTCGCTCGACTAAAAGGAGAGGTACGACCAACGGGAGTCGCTCGAAGAGGGGAGAGGGACAACCCGCCCATACAGCCAGCGGGGAGGATGACACTACTGGCAAAGACCCGTCTGGCGAAAACGCCGCAGGCGCGTAGCGTGGTAGGCCTGCGCCGGGGGAGCATAGCATAGGGATTTCACGTAGTGAAACTAAGGTAGGTTTCAAAATAATTACTACACAATTAATGATTCAAAGAATATGAATGCAGTCCGCAATATTTGTTTTCTTCAAAATAAAATAAATTTCAATCATACATTTTTTTAAATTCTGTGAAGTCACCGCTGGTAGAATTAGTTTGGGAGAGGAGTAAGTTTCTGAACTTCTTTAAGGTCCCGTTTGGTATATGGAATTCAAACTATGGAATTGGAATTGGAGACTTCAAATCCAATTCTGGTGTTTGGTAGCACAAAAATTATGTGGATTTGGAATCGATAGTGCAAAAAATGAATTGAAATTGACGGAATTCAATTCTATGGAATTGAATCCCATGAAATTTCAATTCCAATTCAATTCCAATTCCACCAATTCCTTATACCAAACGGACCCTAAGGGTAACTTCTCAACTTGAGACTTCAAAAAAAAGTTTTGAAAGTCAAGTATGAGTGTCTGAGAGTGATTAACTTGTGAATAAAGTAATTTCTACAAAAGCTGAAAGCAAAAGAATCTCATAACAGCCTCTCCGAAACGGTGTTCTATGTACAAAATAGTGGTGGAGAAAAATAGAAGCTGACATGCCAAATACGTAGTAGAGTAAAATCACTTCCATTCAAAACAAAAGTTAAATTCTTAAAAGCATCGTACTCCCAAACATCCTCTATAAATACCATACTCAATGCACCATCCAATTCAAGAAGAGCTAGCTAAGACTACCCTTTAATTTGTTTGGAAAAAGAAAATAAAATGGCTAAGTCTTTTGCATCACTAGCCCTTCTCCTCACACTAAACCTCATCTTCTTCACATTGGTCACCTCAACATACGTCCCCTGCCCGCCGCCCCCATCAAAAGGCGGCGCCGGCCCAAGCGGCGGCCACAGCCACCACGGCCACCACCACCACGGCCACTCCAAGGCAAAGTGCCCTAGAGACACACTCAAGTTGAGGGCATGTGGAGACCTGTTGAACGACTTGGTCCACCTAGTCGTGGGCAGCGCGGCGCAGAGCCAGTGCTGCCCGCTCATCGAGGATCTCGTGGACCTTGACGCCGCCGTCTGCCTCTGCACCGCCGTGAAGGCGAACGTGTTGGGCCTCATCAACCTCCAACTCCCTCTCTCCCTCAGCTTGATCCTCAACAACTGTGGGAAGAATCTGCCAGAAGGCTTCCAGTGCCAGTAATAATAGTATTTAACAACAATATAATTAATTATATATTGTTGTTATATTGTTTTTAATTAATTATTATTGGTTTGTTTCTTTTTTTCCACTCTTTTTTTCTATTGCTTGGTGTGTTTCTTTGTTTAATTCTTGAATTGCTCTGAGCTTCAAGCCTTCATCGATCATTATATTGGATCTAGCTTATATATGTTCTCGTTATATCTTTAATTAATTTGCTTCCTAGCATTATTGTTATAATTACGATGGGGTATGGTTTTACGCTAGCTATGTTTAGCTTAAGAAATTTGAAAGCGAAAATAAAAGAAGATGAAATATAGTTTTTTTATTTAGTTAGAGAGGATAAAAAATATGGAAGGAAGAGAAAATAAGAATATAAGTTGTACTAAGAGGAGGAAACTAAATTCTTTCCATTTTTAGTATGAAAAATGAGAAACAATTTTCTTTTTTTTTTTCTGAAATTCGTTGAACCAAATATAGTGTAATTCCTCCTGAGGAATTTACTTAACTAGCACTAAAACATAATGACTTTCCCTAAATAGCATCATATGTGTTTTTCTTCTCAATGTAGCACTTTTAGTCATTATGCATTAGTCATTATTCAAGTAAATATTCGCAATCACTGGACATTATGGACATTATTAAGTGTTATTTAGGGAATAAAACAATTTAAGTGCTATTTAAAGAAATGACTTAAGTTTTAGTGCTATTTAGTACAAATATTTCTTCTGAATAAATGTTACTCCATATTCAATGTTTGAGCCTGTGCTTAAGAGGTTGAAATTATTGAGGGAGAAAAACCAAAGTAGGACTAAAACATTGAAAATATACCAAAATAGGACTTCCATGTTTTTATTCCCGAAATAGGACTTACATTACCAAACATGGTTTTATACATTACCAAGAAGGTATAGTAATTTGCACATGTACACTGCCACATTACCACAATTTAAAGTCACATTACCACAGTGCAAAGTCCTATTCTGGGGAAAAAAACATGAAAGTCCTATTTTAGTACTTTTCTTTATGTTTTAGTCCTATTTAGGATGATTTCTAAATTATTGAATTTAAGAAGTTGAAATTATTGAATAGAAGAGAAACTATAATTATAGAGCTACAAAAATAGGCTATAATTAACATGAGAGAGAATCGAAATGGAATTGCAAAAGTGTGTTCAAATTAAGCGTACAAAGTTACAAACTACTCGTACAAAATCTTCTTAAAAGAGAAAAATAATAAATAGTGTACGTTGTCTGTATTCAATTCAAACAAAAAATCATTCTCTAGGGCTGGGAGTGAAACAACGTCTGGTTCCCTCTTCCGCCCCCCGGCGGTGTCCGTCTATTCATGTAACTACCGCCGGCGAAATTAGAGTGCTCATTCCCCTGCGCCGTCGGGCTACCGGGCGGCGTCGCTAGCGGGTCACCTTCGTACCCAACCCCCACGTACTGCTGGACCACCAGAACCGACACGGTGGAGCCAAAGTCCGACGACGCCAGTAGATCTCCGATGGCCCCAAGCTCCGGGCACTCGCTCCAGTCGGTCAACCCGGCGGTCAACGGCGAGATGCTCCCCTGCCCTCTCCCAACTATGAACAAGTCGTGCATCTCGTCTATCGCCCGTATCGCCGCCACCGTCTCCTCCCCGTGGTTCACCACCACCTCCGTGTATGCCGCCATGTCGTCGCTCGCCGCCCTCGTCCGGAACTGGTTCACAATCTCCTCGTCGAGCTGCTTCTCCCGGTCGGAATCCGTCACCACCGTTAATGCCCCGCCGGTGGAGCAGCTATTCGTATTCCGGCAGGCGTTCTCCGGCGGGTCTACGGCCGCCTCCCCGGGGAGAAACCGCATCACGGTAAGGGTAATGCCCGGGTGATCACTCATTCGCATCCCGTACGCTAACGCTTCCCGGTCGTCCGGTCCACCAAAAAATAAAACCAAAATGTTGTGTGCAACCTGGTAAATTTAAAAAAGTAATGTCAAAAATATTTAAAGAACAATAATTTTAGTGAAAGTTTCCCATCACATTGGAATCTCTGATGACTGGGGATGTTCTGGTGTTGCGTTTGTAAAATTGACCGTTCCTACCCCTGTCACACTCACCTCATTCACTTGCATCCTACCGGTTAATTTTTACTTTGGAGGCTAAACAATGTTAAATGTGTTTTTAATCCTTGAAAAATGAAAAACCAATATATATGTACCTGGTTAGAGGCTAACCTAGTGGACCCATTTAAACCACGGTCAACGAGGATGCCAATGGAGCACGGGGCGTTAGCGAGAAGGTTCTGGTTGACGGTACGGAACGCCGGATTGGTGGACTCCATCCCGCCGTCGACCGTCTGCTGCTTGTGAAATGGGATGATGACGATCGCCACGCGCTTATCCTCGGCGAAGCTACAGATATCCTCGTGCATGGTCGAGTACGGTGAGATCACGGTGAGGGGCTGGACGGAGACGCAGCCGGCGTGCTGTTCGAAGTTCTCGAACGCGTTCACGATGTGGTCGGACTGGGCCTGGGTCCGGTTCACGGCGGGCCGGCCCGATTTCCGGGTGTTGTGGACGATGAGCATGGCGGAGGCCCGCCCCGTGAGCTCCACGAGGTGGCAGACGTAGACGCAGATGGGGGATTTCTTTGTCGGGTGGGAAGCTTCTAGAAGGTTGATGATCGTCGGGACGTTTCTCGGCGTGTGGATGCAGACTAGGACCCGGAACTCGCTGTCGAACTTCACCTTCTGCACGGTCCTCCACTTGTAGGGTACGTACTTTCTCGCCGGCTTGTAGATCGTTGTCACCACCGGACTTATTATCGCCGTCATTAACACCGCCACCACTATCATTATCGCAAATGACTCTGTATCTAACACCTGCAAGTTACAAATGTTGGAAAGTCAAATTAGTCATGTCAATCAAAAGCTCAAACTTTAGAAAGTCTTGTCAAAATGGAGACCAGTATGTGTCAATATAATGCAAGATGGATGAGTACATACCTTTTGGTCTTTACCAACATTTAGAACAATCATCTCAATAAGACCCTTAGCATTCATGAGCAAGCCAAGGGTGAGGCCTTCATTGAAGGGCATTTTATAGTATAGCGCGACAAGAAGGGTTCCCGCCACTTTTCCCACGCAAGCGAGGACGATCACGAGAGCCAAAATAGACCACGTCCCGAGGCCTTTTATGGACCCGATCTCCGTCTTCAGACCGCTACTCGCGAAGAATAGCGGCAGAAGAAGCCCGGAAACGAAATCCTCCAACCTCTCGATGAGTGTGACACCGAGCGACCCGTTCGGGATGACCAAACCGAACACGAACGCGCCGAACACGGAATGCGTCCCAATCGCGTCGGTTACGAACCCGGAGATCATAACCCCAGTCAGTATCAGACATATGTAGAAATCGCTCACCGGCTCGCCCTCTGGGGTTTGCCTCACCACCCACTCCACGAACGGTCTCACGACGTAAACACAAAAGCAGACGAAGGCGATGCTCGACAGCAGGACCCAGAGCGAGGATATCGTCATGGTCTCGTTCTCGGCGAAGGCGATCGCGAAGGCCAGCAGTATCCAGGCGCAGACGTCGTTGATGAGCGCCGCGGACATTGCGATCTTCCCGATCTCGGTGTTGAGGAGCTTGAGCTCCGCGAGGATCCTCGCGAGGACGGGGAAGGCGGTGATGGAGAGGGCGACGCCGAGGAAGAGGATGAAGGTCCCCTGCTTCATGGTCTGGGACCCGCGGTGCAGCGTGTAGGAGAACGAGACCCCGATGAGGAAGGGGAGGACCATGCCGGATATGGCTATGGCCAGCGCCTTCTTCCCCGTGCGCCGGATCACGCTTAGGTCCATCTCCAAGCCCACGAGGAAGAGGAAGTAGAGAAGCCCTAAGTTTGCCATGGTCTCAAGAACCATCACACTCCTTAGAGGGAAAACTGTGAAGGCAAATGTCTCACTTCTCCCCAGCACTGATGGACCCAATATTATGCCACCCTACATGCATATCATGACCCAATTTAAAGAGTTATCATAAAGTTTTAAAATCTCTGAATCAATTCCTCCAAATTTCGGAACTAACTTACGAGGATCTCGGCAATGACGCGAGGTTGGCGAAAGGGTTTGAGGAAGAAGACGAGGAGGCGAGTGGTGACGACGACGAGAGTCAATTGGAGAATGAAGAGGGGGAGGGAGTAATCCAGCGGGTTGTCGCCCTGCCATATCCCGTGCGTCGTTATCATCGTCGGCGCGTAGCATACTATCGTCTCCTCCGTCCGGTTCCCCTGCGACAGCACTATGTCCGCCATTTATCCGATCCGATCGGCCGGAATTTAATTATTCCGATCACTTTCTCCGGTGGCGCCGTCGGGAGTTCTCTAGAGGATATTCATAGCTGCATGCTTGACCGTGCATGGGTTCCGCCGGCCGCCGTGTGATTACCTCTGTTTTTGGATTAATTAATGGTCAATAAAATGTTGTCGTTTTTCTTTTTTGAGGAAAATAGTTTCTTTTTTTTAATTACATTAATTTGGTGGAGAGAAAGAGGGAGAGATTAGGTTATTTTCTTGTGGTTAAACGCCACTTTCGGATGCTACGTACAAATCTTCTCTGCCTCAGACGTGACTCATTTGAATCATCGCATAAATTAAGCGCTATGAAATTAACACGGAGTAATTAAAATGAAAGTCATTATTACAAAAATATGCTTTACGAAAATAATTTCAAAAATATGGATTTTGCACGTTGTTTAGAAATGGAAGTTTATTGTTGGACAAAAACATTATTAAACATTGGTTCAAAAATAATTTTAATAGATTCATCTGATAATATTTTCAAGAAATTATTTTGTCTAGTTTTTTTGAATGCTATTGACCATTTTACAAGAAAGTATCTGTTCATATTATTTTCAACCTAAAGATGCGCAAAGAATCAATGCTTCCGCCTCCGTTAGCGCTCGAACTTGCATAAATTTCCTCATAAATCCTGGAGAGTGGGCTTCTTACGCCAGGTGAGAAGTTCATTTTGTCTAATTAATACTATTTTCATCACATAGTATATATTTGTCCAGTTTTAATTTTTTTCATTCAA